ATTTCGTTGGAACTTACTGCACAAAAAAATTTCATATTAGAGAAGAATGGTGCTTGATGTATTCACAAGAATGAGCAAACTTTCTTAGAGAGACATATTCCGTTAGACATACTGGCATACACTATTTTAGCTGCAGGTGTACAACGAGGAAGCCAGTGTTAGCTAGACAATGGCAAATATCTATATAAGATCAATAACGAAGGTTGGAAGATACCAGGTTCTTGTTCGTTTGCAGGATGTAAACCTTACGCAAAGTATCCGAGTTAGCCTACCTTTTTTCGTCTGAAAGAAGACAGGTGAATTCCTTGAAATGAACGTGTTAGGGATCTTTGTATTCGTATTCTAATTATAAAGACCATTTGGGAACTTTTCCCGTTCTCAAACCCCGTTCTTTGCCAGCCACTAAATGAAGATCTTTTTAAAAGTTCATTTAAAAAAAAAAAATGCGTGGCATATAGAGCGTCTTTTCCCCTCCAACAAAAGGCTGGAATCTGTAAGCGCCTTCTTCAGTCCTATGTTACTCAAAAGATAAGTCCCACTGAACTCCGTGTAGACAGGGTTACACTTACTTTGAAAGTAACTTTGCTTAAAGGAATTGGGCTTATAAACCAGGGAAGATAGACCTTGAAAGATCCAAGTATCCCAGATTAGATGGGGCAAACTTTCTTTTGTTGAGCCGTGCTTAAAGAGAAACGGCCCGCTATCCCTGCTTGGAGAAGAGGCCGCGATTTACGGCGAAGAAGCGACCCTTTGTGAATCGCCGGGGAGGAAGAGCGTCATCTACCACCACCGCTCGCAGACGAAGGATTACACCCCACGTGGTGGTCGCGCCGGGAAGAGCTGGCCCCGAGAGTGTTGCGGGGATGGGTGGGGTGGAAGAGCAGGATGAGGTGGAGGGGCCGGGGGGGGGGGGGGGGGGGGGGCCGGGGCCCGGAGGGGGGGGGGGGGGGGGGGGGGGGGGTGGGGGGGGGGGAATCCCTTGTCAGGCACGAGGACACCCCTCGCGTTTTTCTCCCGCAGGTCGGCGAGAGGCTGAGGGAGGGAAAGGAGCGGCGGTGGCGGCGTCTCGCTCGCGAGCGCCCGCGATTAAATAAAGCACTCCCGGCTTCTTCTGGCCGGCCGGCCTCCGTGGGCCTCCGGGACCTGCCAGCAGCAGGGGCGGAAAGGGTGTCCATCCTCCCAGGGGAGCCGCTGGAGCTGCCGCCGAGGCAAACTCCAGCCGCCTGCCTGCTCGCCCTGAGGGAGCTGCTGGGAAGAGTTGGCGGCTGAGGCTGCAAGCGCGCGCGGCTGGGACTGGGGTGGAGTGGGGGATGGGGACGGGCCGAGGTCGCATTCATCCCGCGTTGCTATTGCCCGGGCGGCTGTCACTCAGCGGCAGAGAGCTTAGCGATTGGCGCCAGGCTTGGTTACGCATTTGCCTTGCGCTCACATACAAGGGTAGGGCAGTAGAAAGGTGATCAATCTTCATCAGGCTACATTTCCAATCACCTAAACAAGCGAGCGAGACAGCTACCGGGACAAGGTAAAAAAAAAAAAAAGGAGGGGGGGCGCTTGATTTATTTCACTCCCCCTTTGCAGGTGAGCTCTGACTTTCCCTTCCTTTCCCGGGCCGTCCCGACATCGCACTCGAGCCGGGGAGCCCATCCCCGCTTCCTTCTCGCCCTCCGCCCCCGCCAGCTTGCTTCCCAGGTCATCGGGAGCTTCAGGTCCGCGCAAGGGATTTCGGCCAGCGAGACTTTGCGCTGCGAAGTATTCGAGAACGCTCAAGTTTTTCTTTCTTTTTTCTTTTTTGGGTTTCTTTTTTTTTTTCCCCCCCCCCCCCCTTCCTCCTCCTCCTCCTCCTCCCTCCGCCGCTGGCTTGGCGCAGCGGCGCCTGAGCTGAAGAGGAGGCGGGGAGGGGGAAGTCGGAGGCGGAAAGCAGCCCGCACGAAAACTTTCCCTCCTAACTTCTCTTGTTCCTTCGCTTTGCAGCTCTGCCTGGAAAAGGGGGCCTTGGGGGTGCCGAGGGGTATTCCCGAGCCCTGCTCGCCCGCCCACCCCGCGGCTGCTTTCCTGCGCCTCACTTCTAAACGGGAAATGCTCGGCAGGTAAGCAAGAGAGGAGCCGCCTGGCTTTCGGCAGCTGCCTTCTTTCTCTCCTCCGGCTCTTCCTTGCCAGGCTCGCAACGTGCGCGCCGTTTGATGCTCTCCTCCCCCCTCCCCTGCGCGCCCTCTCCGCGCAATGGACGAGTTCGGTCGGAGGGGCCGGAATCCACGCGCCCCTCCTTCCTCGGGAGGAACAGAGCTGGACGCTTCCCGAGGGAAGAGCCCGAAGCTCTGGGGTCCTCTGCCCGCCCGTGCCCTCTCCACGCCACAGCCGGCGTTCCGCCGTCGCTTTTCGGGCCCCTCGGTTACACGGAGGCCCAGTGGAAGGCAGCCAGCCGCGGACCCCCCGAAAGGAGAGGTCGGGGTGGCTTTTTCTCCTGGCTCTGAAGGCGAATGGCTTTGCTTGGCTGGGTCTCTCTTGGCCCCCCGGAGGCCCTTGGCCCCTTTTCACCGAGGGCCAGCTAACCTCGAGCTACCTGGAGACACCTTGTTCTTTTCCTCTGTTTGGCACTTCGCCTGCATTTTCTCCATTGAGCAACGGCCGGGTGTCACCCAACACAACAATAATGGACGGCCAAGGAAGTAGGGAGGGCGGAAGAGTCCAACCCCCGATCACCACCGGAGCACCGGCGGGAGTGGGCTTTTGAAGGGATCACGGGATGGGTTTGAAATCCAAGGAAAGAGGCTTGGAGTGGAGTCCGCTTCTCCCTCGCTTGAGATTGTCTGGCCCCTTTGCCTCTCTCCCCAAGCAAGGAGATTCAGGCTACAACCCTATGCTCAATCCCACGGGGACAACAAGTCCCCCTGAACTTGACTTTTGGAGATGCGAAGTCAGCCCTTAACTTGCGTGGCCCGGTTGCCTTTTTGCCCAGGTCTACCTGGTGCTTTGTTGACTTTTTTTGTTCAAAATGCCAGCAGGATTTTATGAGTGACTTCCTAGGCCAACCACCACAGTTTTATCTATTCTTAAAACCTTTGCACCTAAAGAAAAGGCTGCTTGATAGGAGTAAATGTGGAAGGAATTTTTAAGGAATAAATGAAGACATCTAAGTGTTGAGAGAGATACAAGCTCCTTTGAAAGTAAATTTGCAGAGAAGTATGGAGAAAGGCTCCAAAAAAAAAAAAAACCAACAATAACTTCCCCCCTTCCTTGGAGCCCACGGCCCAATCTGAATAATGTCTCCTGACAAAGAAATCCCCCCTGGTCTTAAAAAGCAATGATGTCAAGTAAGTATACCTGTGCTTCAGCAACCTTACTTATCCTATGCTGCTTAAGTAAACCAGATGGGCCGGTTTTGAACTCTTAATTGTGTGCACAGAGAGAGGGAGGGAGGGAGGGAGAGAGATGTTTAAAAAAAAAACCTCACCTCACAAATCCAGGCAGAACTCTAAATGAAATCTCAACTTGGAGAGAGCTGCAACAGGTTAGCCAGTCCTGGGAATATGGGTTGTTTTTTATGGATTTGGAATATGTTAACTTAATAGCCTAGGATCAATTGATTAATAGTAGTTCAAGACCCACTTTGCACCCCTTTCCCCCCCCCCCTTTCTTTTTCCTTCCTGGGGTGCACCTTTCTGTGTGTAAATGCCTACCGTGTTGGTCGCAGCCAGGCCTGCTATCTATATAAAGTTTTTGGCCATTGATTAATTGAGATTAATTTTGTCACCAACTGTGCTTTCTGGATGTGAGTTTTTATCTATCTGCTGGTCTGATGTTTGTTCTATTCGGGCATTTATTTTATTGAAACTTTTCTTGGAAAATAAAAACTTCTAGATCAGAACATGGGAATTTAACCTGAAAATTATTTTCTGTTGGGGAATGTTAGCCCACCAAGAGTCCCAAATCGGTTCTGTAACTCTTGGAAGTAAATCTTATGGAGTTTTTAAAACGCTTGAAAGTTTATATGATTAAACTGAACAGCAACACTTCGGTGGCAAGTAAATGCACCAGGTTCTTTACCGGGCACTTTTATTTGGATGTCAGGATCATTAGTTTATTTTGGTTTTATTTCTAAATGTGCCTGTCCGAGAGTGCACCTTCACTCTCTTTTTTCCCCCCTATACTCCTAGAAATAAATTCTTCAGCATGTGAAGGAATCAAACTTTTAACGTCTCTGCCGCCCAGCCGCTGTTCCTCCCTGCCTGTTGTTGCAAGTCTATTAGAATGCGGATTTCAAAGCTGGCCTCCCCCCTCTCTGCCAAAACTGTCTTTTTAGATCATTAGCCATTTCTAATTAATGTGTCTGTTTCTGCTCTCTTTTCAATTAACTATAGTTCCCTCCTTTTGTTATCTCGTTTTGATTTGTAATCCAATTATCTTTTTTTTAAATAATTGCTTTATCGTTCTCATCATTGATATGGTACCCCCTCACAGCCCCTTGGCGATTGTATGGTAATGTGGCTGTAGATTTTTTTTTTTTTTTTAAAAAAAACCCACCTTACTACACTTCACTCTTTGCCACTTTCCAGTTTTCCTTGGGGGAGTGGGAGGAATTATCCGCCATGTTCAGAGAGCTTCTGTTTTACGAAGAAACCTTTAAGTAAGACATAAAGAGAATCCAAAATAGAAACAAGAAGCTTTATCGCACTTGATACGGAAATTAAGTTTTCTTTTTAATATTAAGATCCACAATAACTACAAATAAAATTATTGAAACTTTTTTTTTAACTGATATGTACAAAAAGAACTGTTCTGTTTTGTTGAACATTTAATTTTGCACTACCTTGGGAATTCCATAAAAATGTTTATATCATGCTATCAATTCACTATATGTTAATTTTGTTGTTTTTCTTCTAGAGTGCTGTGAAAAACCCTCCTGCTCTGTGGAATTCCTTTCTGTTGCCTGGTTGGATGAATATTAATATATATCTATATAAATACACACTATTTGAAAAACTGCTAAATAAACAAATAGATAATAGTGTGTGGATAAATTGGAAAAATATTTCCAGCTTTTAGCATGATGTCTTACCTCAAACAGCCCCCCTATGGCATGAATGGGCTGGGGCTAGCAGGACCGACCATGGATCTTCTACACCCTTCAGTGGGGTATCCAGGTGAGCGGCCCCTCCCCCATTCCACCCTCTCTTCTCCATTGAGTAATAGACACACTCAGGTCATTCCTCAAAGTTTGAAAAAAGAGAGAAAGGTGCCAATTCTTCTGTCTTGCCCTACAAATGACATGGAAAGCAAATAGACAGTAAGAAGGGAATTCTCCTTTCCTGCTCTTCCATTCTTAGAAACTTCACTAACATTTGAATTTGGCAATTAAGTGTTTCTTAACAACCTTTGAATGCTTTTCCTGAAAATAAGTCTAACTATTAAAAAATGGAGCGCACTTTACTAAAACATTAAGTTTTCATAATGGAGGTGATTTCATATTCCTGATTTCTACCTTGTTTTGCTTTCACATTCAGGTAGATAACTAAATATACCAACGCGGGACAAGTATGTTTGTGGTTGTTTAAAAAAGAACAGATCCAAGGTAGTGAGGCCCTTTGATAAACGGATCTTTAAAAGAAAGTGAGACTCCTGTGAGGGTTCATTTTGCAAAGTATAGTTGTAAGAAGACCCAGAGTAAAGAAAGTGACTCTCAGAAGGAATGAAAGCAGGTGGGCGGCTGCCCCAGTTTCAAAATTCCTTACTCAAAAACTTGTCCTGAAGGAAAGGTGTTACAATTGAGAGGGTCTGTAGCCAATTCACATCCCCCCACTTCCATTACCTCTGTGGCCAAGAAATCGGCACAGGTTTTGCAACCGCGTATAGCCTGGTGACAAATCAGGTTAGTGCTAACTAATTCAAGGGAATGCTTCATATCCCTATGATTGTGAAAGGCATAAAGTGCCAACATCCTGACTTGGGAAGCGAGGAGCTGGCTAGATAGATCAGGTACTGGTTTCGCTAGAATTTATTCCCGTCTGCAGCGTTGTAACCTGATCCTAAAACGCTCCTAGTTAGGCCAGTTAAATTAAGTACGTTTACAATTGCAGCCTTGCTTGGACGTACTACAGGCTTCTGTGGAATTTACCTCCGAGTTAAGGTTTTTCGATATGGGAATAAACCAGATATTGAAACGTCTAGTTTCTGTTTTAAGTGCCGTGTTAATCTGGCGAGCCAGCCCCTTTGAGCTGTTGTCTCAGGTCCGAGGCAGCTCCAAAGTCCCTGTTTTGCGAAAGGCCCAGCTGCCTGCCTGCCTGCCAGCCAGCCAGCCTGCCTTCTTTCGCAAAGTTGAATTGAGGCCGCAAGCTTCCTTTTCTCTTTTCTACCATTTTCGGCGATTCCTATTTATAGGCTAGAAACATAATCGGGTGGGCGGTGGGTTTGGGTTGTTGTTGTTTTTTTGCTCCTGGCTCGGCCACATTTCCCACCTCGGGTTCCCTCGTGGGATCGGCCGGCCCGTTTTATAGAAATCTGTGGGGCAACTGGGTCTCTCCGCGGCTGGCGAGCAGCCTGCGTCAAGGGATTGGTGGGCGTGGGAACAAGCGAGCCTGGTCGTCTCGCCTCCCCCTCCCGAATCGGGGCAGCGGGGAGGGGAGGAGAGCGAGAGCGAGCGAGAGAGAAAGCAGCCCTGATTGCCTCTTATCTTTCTGTCTTCTTGCCTGCCTGCCTGCCTGCCTGCCTTGCCTTGCGTTGTGTGGTTTCGGGACCCTTGAAGCCACCCCGCGGAAGCAGCGGCGAGAACGGACCACCTTCACCCGATCGCAGCTGGACGTGTTGGAAGCGCTTTTTGCAAAAACCCGCTACCCAGATATATTCATGCGAGAAGAGGTTGCCCTGAAAATCAACCTGCCGGAATCCAGAGTCCAGGTCTGGGGGCTTTTAAAAAGCGTTTCTGCCTGCGGGAAGGGGGTCGGTGGGGCACGCCAGTTGTCTGGGTTCGCCTACCGCTTGTTCCAAACTCAAGGAGTGATGTGGACGATTCCTTTTATTTTAAAGATTCTTCTGCTTCGGGGTCCATTCTGTTTATCTGGTCAGGGCCATTCTGACTTTCAGTCTAGGCACAGCTCTTTCGCTTTAGGACTGGTATTTATTGGGGTAAATTACTCTCCTTCGCTCAGCCGGAATAGTCACTGTGGAAGGATCGACAGGCTGGAATGGCAGAAGGGCACAGTTGAAGATCCTTTTTCGGTTTATTGAATCTGGCAACTTCCCTTAGCTCCCTTATCACTTTAGAGGAATCGATACTTTACAGATACTTATTTTCTCCTCTTCTCCAATCAATGTCAAGACAACATCCCAGTCATAAACACATGTCAATGGATACACTCCAGCACAAGTTAGTTTTCGCTAATTTCCATGGCAATCAACAGGATTCCCCCCCCCCCCACCATCTCGAGGTTGTCTACATGAAACTTAGGATAATGCACAAATAGTGGAAGGAAGGTTAATTTATTCCTCTTTAATTCTTTTATGTGTAAGATTAAGACTACATAAGCATTTTAAGACTGCCTAAGCAACTTTAAAATAATTTGACACCCTAATCCTTAATGCACTTATCACATTATCCACATTTGTTTATCTAGAAATAAATTTTACCGAGACTTATTCAAAAATATTTTGGTTAAAATGCCACATTTCTTAAAAGTGAAATCAAATTGATTTCATCGTTTTAAAAGCTGTTTCTTTTTGTAGTGTAGGAGTTATATTGAAAGTTTCTGATGGATCTTCAGTCCTCTGATTGGTGATTTAATGAGGAGCTATAAAGTGAATAAACTTGTGATTAAGATTTGCAGACTTACCCTCGCTCCTTTATGTGAGGCTTTTTAAAATTTGTCTCCTCTTCTTTCCCCTGCCCCCAGCAGCAATTCATTCTTTCCTAGTAGAATTGAATCTCAGTTGTTGATTTGAAACTCAAATCTGGGCAGGAGGATAGGCACCAAACTATCTCTTTAGGATGTAAATAAGTGTGTAATTAAAGTACAATCACACCTTTGCTATGCAAGCTGTTTGTTTGCTCTATTTCTCACCGAGGGCAATTTGAAACCATGAAATGAAAGCATTTAAGGGGAGGGGAAAGAACTGAAATTGCAAGTAAATCATACAATGATGATTTCAATATGTGTATGTATGGTTGGATCAAATAAAGGAGGACATATTTCACATGCAACCATCACACATCCCAGCTATGAAAAGCGATGTATAGAGAACATTTACAAAATCTGAAGTAGCCTTAAGATCATAAGCAATTTGTTGGGAAATGATTGATTATTTTGCCAAATAACACATTACATTTTCTATCATTTTTAAGTATTGCTATTAATTACTCTGGAATGTTGTGCTTTTGAAAGTTGTGAAAGATTGCAGACATTATATATTTAACTTTTTTTTTTTTAACAACGGGAGCTGCAGTTTGTGGGATGCCTGCGCAGTAGAAGAATGGAATTACTAGATGCTTGGATTCTGGACTAAATATTTAGGGACTTGGATTGATTCAGTGAACTCCCATTTACCTGTTGGCTAGTCTGCTTTTGGGTGGGATAAGTCCCTAGTGAGGAAGGCTGTAAAAATATTATATGAATTTGAGTTGCATATAATCTGAATGAGGAGAGATGGGTGCCCTATTTTGAGGTTATATAAAAAAGGGTTGAATGTGCAAGTGATGAATGTAACAGTAACCTTTGCTATAGTTGTTGCACTAGTGGCAGCATTAAACATATACTATGCAAGTGTTGTTCATTGTAACTCTGCCTCAGAATCTGTAGTGGGTCCTTCTTTGAAGAAATAGATATAAAATACTCTGTTATAGTTTAATGCCATAGAATATTAACAGAGGTACATAAAACTCTGGTTGCTGTACTCCATCAACAATGTGGTTGTTAACATGTATTGCAACATGGCTTTTAAATTAATGAGAACTCTTTCAGGAAGTAAAATAGACTAGCAGAGAAGACAGCTGAATCTTTACCTTAGATGAACAATTTACTTTGCCCACCCTTTCTGACTTCTAATTTACACCTTTCACCTATCTTTTCCATAAACTAGTTTTAACTGTTGACTGTTAGGAAGTTCGAAGTCTGATTCATGAATTTTGTTTATTTGGAATAGTATAGCAGGTGTGACAAGAAGAAGTGTGGTTGAATTGACAAGGGATATCAACTCCATTCCCTTGGAAGTGGATGTAGCTGTTGATTGGTTTGGTGCACCTTGCAGTATAAAATGTTAATGAACAAGGAGAATAAATTAATGATATTAAGAATCAAAATTCTGTTGAATGCAAGGGATGTTACTGCTTAGAGCTGAATGCTACAGGTGAATGGCTTGAACATCACAGAAAGTAGTCTGGAAAATAGGTAAAATGGTACACAAGTGGTTGGTGAGGATCCTGAGCATCCTAATCTCTCCTCTGGTATAAATGCACCTTCTATTTTCTAAGGCAAGGCATCTTAAAATATTAACATTAATTGATAGAGGACAGGCAAGGAACATTATAGTTTATTTTGGGCAAAATTAAGCTGGCTACAGTGTTGGAAGCAATGGGTCTGAGATCTTGGTGACCAATAGTTTCCTGTCTGTGTAGCCTTGGGAAGATAATAGTGTGTAAATTTTGTCCTGCTTGGATTCTTATACCAAGGAATCAACTAATATCTAATCTTAGCTTCCTCCCATATGCACTTTCTAGATACATAGATCCAGAGAAGAGAAATGAATGAGGAATGCTGACGTTCCCCCTTCCACCCTGCCCTCAGTCCTCCCACTGCTATACAGTACTAATAGCAAAAAGGACACTAGGACCTGAGAATTAAGGATTCCGATACATTTAGGGTTTGATGCTGAAAATGAATATAGAAGCCTCTCTTCAAGATGGGGTTATTGAGTTACTGGGTTACCCTGATTTATGATGAACTTTGATAAAGTTTTGGAAATTGGCAAGTACAGTGGAGATATAGCCAGCAGAGTTGATGATGGCAGCGGCCAGAGAGAGATGGACATCCTGCCAACCGGCAATGAGTGTCATCCTTTTTCCTAGGATACAACTGCCTGCATCAGGGATGCTCCTTGGTCGCTTGGCTTCTCTTCTGCTGGACCCATCCAATGAATATGCTCTTGGGGGGTCCTACCTGAAGGCAATGGCTGTAGGTATTTGGGATGCGCTAAGCCAAGCTTGGTGGCTTTGCCTCCTGACTAGGAGGGAGGACAGGCAGGATTAGAGAAGGGGCTAGAATGAGAGAACGAGACTAAAAGCTCCCTTTTTCGATCTAGAGTCCCTGAGTAGTCCAGATGTGTACGGCGCTGAGGGCGAGCGTTAGAGGAATCCAAGGAAAGGCGGGATGCAGGAGAAGGGCTCGAAGTGGCAAGAGAGTTGGTCGTCGATCGGACTGTGGGGCGGAGCAGGGGAGGTCAGACTGGGCCTGCCTCCTCCCTCCAGGTCCCCTCTGGGAGAACCGGGTCTCACGGAGCGCTGCCTTTGCCTCTCTCCGCAGGTCTGGTTCAAGAACCGCCGCGCCAAGTGCCGACAGCAGCAACAGAGCGGCAGCGGCGCCAAGAGCCGGCCGGCCAAGAAGAAGGCTTCTCCAGCGCGAGAGAGCTCCGGCTCCGAGAGCAGCGGGCAGTTCACGCCGCCCGCCGTCTCCAGCTCGGCTTCCTCCTCTTCGTCCAGCTCCAATTCTTCGGGCCCGGGCCCGGGCGGAGCGGCCTTGAGCAACCCGGCGGGGGCGGGGGGCGCAGCGTCCGGGTCGGCTTCGTCGGCCGCCTCGCTGAGTAGCGCGCCGTCGGCCGTCTCGGCCTCGTCCATCTGGAGCCCCGCGTCCATCTCGCCCAGCGCCGGGCCGGAGCCCTTGACGTCCAGCGGGGCCTCCTGCATGCAGCGCTCCGTCTCCGGCGCTTCGTCCGCCTCTTACCCGATGTCGTACGGCCAAGGCGGCGGCTACGGCCAAGGCTATCCGGCGCCGCCACCCCCGCCGCACTCCTCGTCCTACTTCAGCGGGGTAGACTGCGGGTCCTACCTGCCCATGCACGCGCCCCCGCACGCCCACCAGCTCAGCCCGATGGCGCCCTCGTCCCTCGCGGGCGCCCATCCCCACACCCACCACCCGCTCGGCCAGAGCTCCAGCCACCACCATCACCACCACCACCACCACCACCACCAGCCTGGCTATGGCGGGCCCGGGCTGGCCTTCAACTCCTCCGACTGCCTGGACTACAAAGAGCCGGCCCCGACCGCCGCCTCCTCCTGGAAGCTGAACTTCAACTCCCCGGACTGCCTCGACTACAAAGACCAGGCCTCCTGGCGCTTCCAAGTCCTGTGAGGGTTGCCTCGGCGCCCGCCAAACCTCCCCCGTCTTGTAAGCGCCCACTTTCTTCTCGGGTCCGGCCTCTTTTCCGTCTTGCAAACGCGCCCCGGCCCTGCTCGGCTCGGCTCGGCCTCGTCGGTCTTTGCTCTTCCGCGTGTTTGACCAGTTGGTGAAAGCAGCCTTTGAATTCATTTCCAGAAAAGAAAGACGCTGGGGAGCAACCCGTTTGAATAGCCAGCCCCTTTCCCCGCCACCGAATCTGGGCTGAAGGCTGCTTGGGCCAGACCTGCTTTGCCCTTCCTGGACGTGCTGCCGCCTCCTGCCCCGCTGAGTTGACTCCTGACGTGTGTTATTTATTCGCTCCCTGGGATTATGTTCAGGATCGTAAATTTTTTGTTTTGTTTTGTGTTTGAAGCAGAAGAGGACTTGAAATCGAGATTCATCCTCCTCCTTCCAACCAGTCCTTTTGCCCAGCCTTTGTGACGCCCGCCCGCTCGCTCGCCCGCGTGCGTGGAAAGACAGGACAAACAGGACGCGCCTTTTGCTTTCTGGCCGACAGCAGACTTCGTGTATAGATCTCCACACCGCCCTCCCCCATCCCATTCGAGGACCCCCGCACCCCCCCCCCCGCCTTCTTCCCTCTGTAGGTTTATATTGCAAAAAGAAAAAAAGCAAAAAAAAATAAATAAAAAGCGGTAGGAATGTACATACAGGGTTTAACGAGATCTATCCCAAAGACCCTTTTAATTTGCGGAGCTGAAGGCGAACGCTGGAGGCCCTGCAGGTCGGAAGTGGCAGGAAGGCCAACCCCTTCTCCCTTAGCCTTTGGTCTTCCTTTAACCCCTTCGGGAGGGGGGAGAGGGAAAGCGATTCCCCGTCGGAGTTGGAACTGAGAAGCGGGGCGACGTGCTCGGGAGAGGGGCGGCAGGGGGTGGGTGGGCAGCGGAAGGCGTGCTCTGCGAATGGAAGGGGCGGTAGCGGCACAGCATCCCAGGTTCGCCAGCACAGCTTCGGCTGGACCCGTCTCAACACCTGGCCGCGGGTCTCCGGACAGGTTTTTGGCCAGCTTGGCTCTTGGGGAGGGAAGGGGAAGACAGAGAGAGAGAGAGAGAGAGATGTAAAGTTGATAATTTACTCCGTTAATCCAACAGTCACCTGTTGACATGTAAGGCAAATCCTACCCTTTATCTACATATCCCGATAATAAAATTCAAACTGACGAAAGCCCCTGTCTCTGTTATCCTTCCTGGGAAGAGAGGGCAAGGAAGAGGCGGGAACGGCCTTCCCTTTGGCTGAGCGTCCCTGCTGGCCTTGGCTTGAGCAGGAAAGGGGCAGATCGCTGTTACTTCCAAGAGCGGCGGCGAAGGGAGAGTTGGCTCGCTGCACCGAATCTCTCTGAGCTGCTTTTTAATGTCTGTAATTGGATTGGCGTCCAACCAAAACTTTGATGGGTCACATACGCAGGGAAAACGGTGTGATCGGCCACCTCCCCTGGCTCTTTCTGCCAAAGCGGAAAAAGTTAAATCAGCGCGAACCTTCCTCGGAGACCGGAGAAGAAAATAAAGGCCCCCCCTGTAGTTGGGAAGAAACGTTTCCATCTTAATTGCTTCCCACCGCTCCCTCTCTCCGTCACAGGACAAACGGGCCGGACCGAAAGATACTAGAGCGGCGCTGGCCGTGACTTTCTGTAAATCCTCTCGCGCGCTCAATTGTCTTGGCTCCTTTCCTTCATCTGGTCACTTGGCAAGAGTTTGTGGGAAGTGAATATTTATGAAACGTAAGGATTGTTGTAACCCTGTCACTCTAGGCTGAACATAAAATGTCAAGAGCAAAAGCGGAATCTATTAGCTAGTGAAACCGAATGATTAGAAATACCTTCTGCTATGATATCGAAGAAAATTCAAAGGATGCTTGGGATTTGGTAAGCAGCGAGGACGGATCACTATTAATTCTACTACCATTTATGTGCTCACCATAGTAAGACTGCGAATCATTTCCACTGATGTCTGCGGTGACTCTTTGTGTTCACACTACGGAAATCCAAAAGGTCTCTGACCAGGGCCGCCCTTTTTATGTGGTAAACCCCACTAGAATCAATCTTATAACCCCAGCCTAAATTGTTTAAAATTTGAGTTTAAGATTCAACTGCTGAAAAAAGAAAACAAGAGACTTAGTTGCATTTTTAAATTAAAGATCTATCTTTGTGTTGAAGGTACCTAAAATAACGGGAAACACATACTTTTTTTCTTCCTAAAAAAGCAGAGTTGCCTAAAACTATCAGATATAAAACAAAAGAGAATGGAAGTAGGAGTTAAAATACAACGTGTCCTATCAGTAAGGGAAAAGTTTTGCTAGTACTCCAAGCCAGAATAATACAAGACTTCCCTTCTTTTTGAAAACTTTTGAGTTTCATTTTATTTTAATTCTAAGAAAGAAAGAGAAGTTTTTTTTTACTTGGGTTAGATTCAGGTGAAACTAGTTCTAGGATCTAAGTTAAATCAGCATCTATATTAATGCTAACTTTTTTTTTTTGCTCTCATCAGTGAGACAACTGTTCTTACCAGTGCAATATCTATATCAGTGTTCTAGAGTTGTTCCATTTTCCCCACTCCTGAAACAGGCTGAAAATTTGGGACAAATTTTTATTTTCAACAAGTGATTATTTTATTCTCAATTGTTATTTTTATTATAATTTTATAATTACACGAATTATTCGGTTAGGGAAGCTAAGATGATTACTTATATAAATAGTGGTTGGGGAAAGGAAGGCTAGAAACAATATTTCACACTCTCCTTCTGAAGCTCATGGCAGGGATTTGTTTTCACGGGGGGGGGGAGGGGGGGAGAGGGGGAGAGAGAGAAGAGGTCCTGTTACCGGAAGCGGAAGATGCGCCCTTCTGAACCGGTCTTTAAAGCAGCGCCTTTCCCATGCCACGACCAGGAATCCCCGGCGGCTTTCCAGAGGGGAGTCAACTTTAACCCCCAACGTTTTTGATTTCTTTGGGTATGGAAGAAGTGTGAAATCCAACAAGCGGAGAGCCGCAGCAGCCGCCCAGCGCTGGCAAATTCGCACCCTTGCACCCCAAGCCCTCCTCGACGTGCAGCGTGGCCACTGCGGCCACCAGATTTACGCCGCCTCCCCGCACCCACCCCCGCCGTCGCTTGTCAGGGAGAGAGGACGCAACTGGGAAATGGGGGCCTAGTTCAAAGGTTCCTGGTGAAGCCAGGGGCCCCCTGGAAAAAGACCGCCTCCTTTCCTGCGAACGGCTTTCCGTTAGCCAGGATAGCCGGGACAGAAAGCTGGGTGGTTGTGGGTGTTAGGAAATGGCGGGAGGGCGCAGTTGCCTGGGGAACACGGCGCATTCCCTGTCGCCAGGCTTCTGCCGGGATCCAGGGCAGGCCCAGTAGGGAGAACCCGATAAGGGGATTCCGCGCCTGGCTAGACCAAAGGCGGCCTCTGTAACTTGATACCAGAGAGCCGGAAAGAGCGTCTTAAGCCCCACTGCAGTAGCAGATGCTCGGACCTTTTCCTCTCTAGGAAATGTGAGTAGACAATTCCTTGGAGCATGGGCAGAGCGCTCATTCCCAACATGCCGCCGTCTTTCACCCGGATTAAAGGGGAAAGGTGGGCTTCCAAGTGGCCCGTTCTGACTTCCCGGGCCTCTGATTTAGGCGTTTTAAACTCTGCGTGACTTTGCACCTTGGACCCTGCCTTTCTCCTCCGCCCCAAGCGTCTTTGAGGGAGGGGTGGTGGGCAAACGGTTGCAGAAGGGCAGAAACGTCAATATAATTAGGATACTCGTTTAACGTGGTTGGCACTATTCCTCGGAGAGCAGCTGGGCTGAATGATGCCTTCTCCGATCTCACTTTCCTGCACGCTGGGGGGAGGGGGGGGGAGCCACAGGACTGTCGGTAATGGAGCCCGGATGTGCCTAATCCCACCGCTGTGTAGGGTTTTGCAGTACTTGGGAAGACTTCACCCCTTCTATGCACGGCCTTTGTAAAATAACCTAATTATTTTAAAATCGCACTTCTCTGATATTTTTAATGGGACCAAATGAAAGTTCTGCTGTATTAAGTACATAACGAGCGAAACGCTTTTCCAGAAGGCTGCCGGAGCTCCGGCTTTCTTCCTTCGATCCTTTCCCCTCCTCCTCAAGCGAAGGCAGCTGCTCTGAGCCATTGGCTGAAACTGGTTGTCTGAACCGATCCAGCTCCGAGTCTTTACCCTGCCTCACGAGGGGCTGTTGCCTCTTAGGCATTATGCTCAGATGGGGGTTTACTGGATCGTTGACTCCATATGAAAGAAGGGGGAGGGGAGAGTTTGGATCGGTTCCCTGCCCCCCCCCCCCCCCCCCAGCCTTCCCGCCTTTTCCCTTACTGGAGAAGGGGCTGCGGGAGGAGTTGTTTAGCTGGCTCAGGTAGGATTAAGCCACCAGACTGACTGGGGAAGCAGCGGTGCTCAAGCGCCGGCATCTTGCCGCGGTAAAGTCCAGGCTGGCAGGGTAGGGTGGGACGGGACGGGACGGTGGGCGAGAGAGCAACGCAGTCCCTCGCGTTTCAAGGGCTGAGGGGAGAACGCGTGTCCGGCGGCGGCGTGGTGGGGCTCTGAGCGCGCCAAAGAGAACGGCCGTCGAGAGAAAAGTTTTACGGGCAGCTGCGAAGAGCCTCTTTTTACTTCCAGCAGCGGGTTCAAAGGCGTTTTCTCAGCTGCCGCGCGAATCGGCCGAGATTGTTCCTTGCAGCGCTCCAGGCCACCGCGACTCCTTTTAGACCTGTAATCACGCTCTTTAGGAGGGAAGCCGCCATTCGGGCATCCGGACGGCCCTCTTCCCCCACCCCGCCGTCGCGGGGCGGACGATTCTGGTGCCTCGCTCGGGTAGGTGTTGCAAGAGACCGGCAGGAGCGCGCGAAGAGCCGGGCTGCTGCCGGGCGAACCCGAAGCAGAACCACTTTTGCCACACCTGCAACGTAATTAAAGTTCTCCCGGGAGCAGCCCTCTTCCCCCTCACCCCTGCGGGTCACGTGGGAGCGGGGCGAGGAGTCACGAGAGGTGGGCGTTCTAGAGAGCAGGAGGCCTCGGGCGGGCCAAAAGGGCGTTTCTTCAAGGCCTGCGAGATGCCCTCCGGGAAGCCCGGCCGAAGGGAGGCGCGAGTGAACGCTGTGGTACAGCTGCACCGCGCGCTTCCTCCACGCTCTCTTCCCGCCAACTCCGCCCGTCCAGTGCCAAAAGTTGCGGCACACAACCAAGGGGAAATCGCCGCCGCCACCGTGGTGCCACCGCCGGCGAGGCAAGGGCGTTCGACGCTCCTCCAGCGCGCCTGTGATTGGAAACCCGAGTGGCTTTTCATCGGGCGCCTGTCGGAGAAGAAGCGCAACTTCTCGGAGGTTGCTCGCGCGGAGATGCGCGGCTTTCTCTTTTCTTCCAGCGCTTCTCCGCGGCGGTGAGGAGAAGTAGCTGGGCAGCGGCCGATTCAGAAGAACGGGAAATTGCGTTCTTGCGGAAGCGGTTTATATCAAGAGTGTGCGGGCTCAACCCCACGAAACTTACGTCCCTCAACTCCGTCTTTCCCTCGTTAGTTGCTGCGTATCTTTGCCCACGTTCCCTTACTTGA